CTGGGGTGAGATGATATCTCATTGTTGTTTTAGCAAGCCAACATTTTTAATAACTTCAATCTCTTCTCCATTTATCATAGTGCTGCCAGTTGGGCTAGTGGTGAGAATCTTTGGTTTTTTGATGTTATAAGCTTCCATCCATATTGAAAACTATTGTCCTTGATCTTCTCCAGCAAATGCTTCAGGTCATTTTCAGTTTTGGCAAGCAAGGTTGTGTCATCTGTATAACAAAGGTTCTTGATGAGTCTTCCTCCAATCTTGATGCCACACTCCTCCTTATAAAGTCCAGCCTCACGGAAGGTCTGTTCCTGTTCTGCATACAAATTGAAAAGGTTTGGAAATAGGATGCATCCTTGACTCAATCATTTCCTAATTTGATCCATCTAGTGTTTCCTTGCACTATTCTGAGGACTCCTTCCTGGTCCGAGTATAGGTTTCACATGAGCACAATCAAGTGTTCTGGGATTCCCAATCTCCTCAAGGTGAGCCACAATTTGTTGTGACTCACACAGTCAAATGCCTTTGTATTGTCAGTGAAGCACAGACATTCCTCTGGTACTCTTGGCTTTTTGCCAAGATCCATCTGACATTGGCAATAATGTCTCTAGTGCAATAGCTTCTGTTTCTGGCAGTTCTCTGTCACCATCCATTTCTTTCTTAAAAATGTCCAGTTTTCTACATTCATGCGTCTAATGTTCCATGTTCTGATCATTAGTATTTGCTTCTAATTGTTCTTCCTCCTTTGTTTCCAAATTTGAGGGCCATATCTGCTAGTCTGCTCTAAATGTGCTCTATTGTACATAGGGTTTTAGAAGGCCTATTATTTTGGAAGTAGATGGCCAGTCCTTCCTAGTCTGTCTTAATTTGGATCCTCAGCTTCAGGACAGTATCTGACAGACAAGCATTTTACTGTAAGGAGGAGCGGATTAAAGATTCTTTCCCCTTATGGAAGTAAACGATGGATTCCATGTCATCACCCCCAAGGGTCCCCCCACCCCCTCATCATGTGCTGTGTCCCTTCCCTTTCCCTGCTCCATCAGCATCCCCTTGCACCCCCAGCTATCTTGTCCAGCACCTCCCACCCCCAGCCAAGCCTCAACGTGATGGCTTAGGTACGTCTGTGATGCCTTGCACTTCACATGGGTGCTGGTCTCTCATGCTGCTGCCTGTATTATGTTAAGGAGGCTTTAAGTCCAAATCCCATGGGCCAGCTTTAGGGAAGGATTTTTGTCTTGAGACAATACTGGAGAAAGCTTCCTGCCCTGAGCTTCTGCTCCACAGCTGTCATCTTGTGACTTAGTTTCTCTGCTCTTCCATTTGCAGCACACTGCTGTCACAGAAGGATAAGTTCCAAGGTGAGGGCTGTGTCTCCTTTAGATCTGATAATGCTGGTGGTGTTTACTTGACCCTCTTGTTAGGGACTGAATGTCTCATCTTGCTTTGGATGCCTGACTCAACAAAGCCCCATAAGAATTCTGGGAGGTTGGGCTTAGGGAGGGCAAAAGGTACTTCCAGACACCTGCCATGTGTGAAGCTCAGGGGTTTCCGAAAAAAAAAAAGTCTTCTGTTTGATGGTTTACTTACTTTTTTTTGTTAACAGCTATGTTGATTTCTGGTGTTTCTTTTCATTTTTATTGGTGGCTATAAATCTTTTTTTCTTTTTTATTAATTTTAATGAAAGTTTACACAGACTGGACTTCCATTCATTGTATCACACTTTTCCTCCCTGCTCACCCCTCCCCCTAGTTAGCTTTTCTCTTTGTAAAAAAAAAAAATATTTTGTTGTTCTACAATCCTCCCAGTCCATTCCACTATGCAGCTTTCCTGCTTGACTTACCTATTTTAAAATCTCCTACAAGTATGAATGAGAAAGGAAAGTATTAACATTGTTAGTACATTAAATAAAAACCTGTCAAGGGAATTGACATTATCTCACATAAGTAGCACATTTTTAAATTTATGGACTGGTTAGTAATTATACTTACTTTTTCCTTGTGTTCATTTTATAAAAGCTGCTGATAGCAGTGACTGAGGCGATGGATATTCATTCAACCTTCTGTGTATTATCTGGAACCCAAAGAGAAGAGCCACATTCTAAGCCTCTGGAATACTCTGCTATTTTTTTTATTGGAAATGTAATACCCTGCAACAAAGGAATTTCTCTAATGTGTGTCCTTCTCGCAGACAGTTGGTGGATTTTAACTGTATACTTTCCATCAGCAGTGTAGTTCCTTACCACCAAGCCACCAGAGGGCTCTATTATATATTTGTTTCTTAATGAATTATTTTTTCTATTTTATTAGGTGTTTAGATACAGTCATAGCAGAGACACCTTTTCAAATTGGAAGAGAAAATGTATGAATCTTATTTTGTGTTCCTTATTTCTTTCAGGTTACCAAATGTGGCGGTTTACCCAACAACATTTTGGATGTCTGGGAGTTTTTGGGCAAACCTGAACATTGTCGATATACATGGGATACACAAATGAACTCTAATCTGGGAATACCTGCTACGTGTAAACTTCGTTTTGATCGGATATTTTTCAGAGCAGCAGCAGAAGGAGGCCACTTTATTCCCCGAAGTTTGGACCTACTTGGGCTTGAGAAACTGGACTGTGGCAGATTTCCTAGTGATCATTGGGGTCTGCTGTGTAATTTAGATATAATATTGTGAAATTCCTTTCAAATAAGAGTCTTAAATGTACAGTAGTTTTGCTATGGACTTTTGCAAATATAATTTATACCTGCCTGGGAAGGTACATTTAATATGGAGGAGTTAATGTACAGGATTAACATTTTACTTTGTGGATTATATCCTCTGATATCAGAATGGTATATTAGTATCTACTTAAAATAAAGCATGTTCCTTTTCAGAATATGAGGCCTTTTAATGAAAGTACACAAAGCTTCTTAGAAGTTTTAGTACTGTTGATAGTTGTCAGCTGGATCTCAAATGAGAGCCAACATTTTCTCCAGGTGGACTTTACACTTAGTCATTTCCAATCAGGAAGGAAAATAGTTAATATTGTAAATAAGTATTCTAGAAAGGAAATCAGTGTTATGAGGGATTATCAAGTTCCTGGCCTAGGTCTTTAATTATATTTGGCAAACTTAGTCCTAAATGAAAAAGCTATGGTCATTTCTGACAATAATTCACACTAGTCCTTAGGTTTGTCACTTTACAGTGCGAACTTTGTAAACTGTGCATGAAACCTTATGCTTTAAAGTTTCTTTTTCTCATGTTTATAGTTATTTCACCAACAAGTGTAAAGTTAGGCTTGGTAATAATTAAAATCCATTTTATAATGGCATTGAACTGTTTTTCTAAGAAAAGGAAAATATGTAAAGGAAAAAAGAACAAGTTTTGCTACTTGTAAAATGGATACTTTTTAATATGCTGTAAAAAAACATTACCTCCACAGAAACTTACTTTCAATAAATAATTTTACTTTTTTGCAACCTAGTTTAGTAGGTTTTTGTACCCTTCATGGGACTTGCATGTAGGGACTTTTCTCTTTTGGTGGGGTGGCGATCTATCCCAACTATGAGACTAGAGGTTTTGGACAAAGAGCCATCAAAGGTTATAAGTATCGAGAAAATGGCTCCCATATCAATTAATCATTGAACACTCATATCCTGCCACATCTAGCATCACCCTGGGTGCTTGTGGGAGCCATGATAGGGCCTGAGCCTCTTCAGTCTTCTGCATCTCCCAGTAGAAGGGCTTGGTGACTTTGACTGTACTCCTTCCAAACCAGAGGCCAGTCTTGTGTCCAATGCCCAGCTCATTCACATTGGAGGCACTGCTCAATTTTACAGTTACTGTGGGAGGATGCATTTACAGTCTTCTGCTAGGTTTCATAGCAGAGTATTTATTAAAAGGTGGATTGAAGTCAACAATGTCCCAAATGTTTGATGCACTGCACCACTCTGATTTACAGCATCAACTTTTCCTCCTTTGTTCAGTTCTCCTACTCCTCTGTCCCTTTGGTTCTGTGGTTCACTGAAAGGTCTCACAGAAACTCAGACCAGTCAGGGAAATGAATCATGTGACTATGGGGATGCAGGCTAGTGTTGTAGAAACTGGTGAATGATGGGCCAGGATCTTGTAGACTGTCAGTTGTGGGATACCTGGATGCTCTGTTCCAGCAAAGTAAACATCTCAAAAGAGTGTGACCATTGAGCTTCCATAAGCATCTGGTAGGGTAGGGCTTGTATCCCACCCTAGTCCTATCTCCTTAATACAATAGATACTTCATGACAAAGGCTAGGAAAGCCATTCTGACACCCCTGGCATTTCTAGCCATTAATGTTCATATTTGAAGAATTAACTTTCCCCTTAAGATAAGCTTAAGAACTACATTCATGAAAGTGTGTAAGCCAGCTACTTCATGCCTTAATAGTGCCATTTTAGATAACTATAATTTTCTCATCCCTGTCAAATACTCTGAGGAAACAAGCAAAATCCTTTTTGAAGAATTGTCTCTTTCTGTTGGAACCTTGAGCATCTGTAAACAAATCCAATCCAAAGCAAGCTATCAGGTTGCAACAATCAATACTAGCTCACAACATAAAACGTGATTGGTTCTCATCAATTTACCCCTAGCCCTCTGTGGCTAGGTCTTAATGAGCATCAACTGCCAAGTCAGGAGTCCACACTTATTCCTGTGTTCCAGGCAAGCTGGTACCTTCACTCAGTCTTAACCACCACATGGTGTCAAGTCAACCAGCTAGGGATTCCCATGACTCTGCTCCTCAAGCCAGCAACTCCTCTTACCCATGTATCTGTGCATGCTAGATCAATGGTGCCAGTGGAACATATCCAAACTCAGTCATCTCTTCATTGCTGTAGAAAATTCCAGTACTTCCTACTTCCGTAGCAGTGGACCTAGGTGGTCACCACAAGCAAGCATACTCGCCAGCTTTTAACTTCAAGTACCGGGAAAGGACTGATGAACACCAACTTTGTAGAAAATTCCAGTACTTCCTACTTCCGTAGAAGTGGACCTAGGTGGTCACCGCAAGCAAGCATACTCACCAGCTACTTTTAACTTCAAGTACTGGGAAAGGACTGATGAACACCAACTTTTCCTTGTCTCAAGATGCACTGGAAGCCAAAAGACTTGCTCCAATTTTTTAAAAGTTAAAGTCATTCTCCCCCCCTCCCCCAGCCCTGCTTATATTCCTTTTAAATACAAATCTTTTCAATCTAAAGTCCAAGGTGAGTCTATAAATTCATACAGATGCAAATCTCAGACTACTGAGTGGGACTTAATTTTCCCCTCTCCTGAGCTTCATGCCCTCTAGTTCTGCCGCTTCCAACAAGCATTTCTCCAAAGCAAAACTTCCCTTCTTAGCATATCAAATCAACTCTAGCTGAAGGCAGGCTTTCATTCTTCCTCTAAATATATCTCATCATTATAAATACAGAATTCATTTGTATGTTTACCTTACTACATCTAGCAAAGTTAAATAAAAACCTTAATGGTTTTTATAATGTATCTTAACATTGTATGTCCTTCATACTAATTTTTACAATATATCTTGACATTATAACATTCAATGTAGTTAGGACTGTCAAGTTGAGTATGACTCATGGACTACAGACCTGAATGTTGCCCTATCCTATACTATCATCATGAATTTGAATATTTGAACACAGACTCTTAAAGGTATGTGAACCAGCCTTTCATATTTCTTCCCCTGCCCCTCCCCCACCCATTTTAGAGAAATGTTTGAATTGCCCATTCCAATTCTCTATCTGATCGGTACTCCAAGGGTGTTAGCAACATCATCTGTCCATTTAATATGATGTTTCTTGGCCCACTGTTGTACTCTATGGGCTGTAAAGTATGTTCCTTGGTCTGAGGAAATACAAGTTGGTGGCCCAAACTCACTATCTTTTGTTCCAGTTCTTTAATAATTTTTGGCATTTGCTTCAGCTACCAGATAAGTGAAACCCAGAGTATTTATTCCTGTAAGAACAAATTTGTAGCCACCCTGTGCCATTACTGGGCCTTCCTTTCCTGGGAATCTATCCCATAGCCATCTGCAACCCCTGTCTTTGTTGCCAGCAAGCAGAACAATCTTCATTTGCACTGTGTGCCCCAGAGGGAGAAAGAGGAAGATGTCTAGTTTCACTTCATCTCTGCATTGCTGCAGCACCCCATATCCATTCATTTCAGGGACCCAAATGGCCACTTCAAGGGAGTGCACCAACACGTCCACCTGCTGATTCCAATCAACCTCCGATCCTGGCAGGGAGTTCTTCTGATGGGCATTGACAAGTACAATTCTAGTTGTTGTTAAGTGCCGTCGAGTCACAGGCAACTCATAGCGACCCTATGAAGGAGAGTCCTTGACGGTTGGGTGCCTTTCTTCCTCTCTCCAGGTTCATAGAACAATTCTAGTGCTCACCCTAAATTCCCAGAGTCCTTTCCATAGGTCCATTCCTTTCATTAGTGTCCCTTTAATAGTCCAGTTTTCCATTGCTTATTTGCCTCATCATGTGGATAAGCCATTAGCCAACATCCATAAATCAGTAAAAACCAAACATAAGAACTTTCACCATTGCCCAATTCCTCAGTCACTACTAGGAGTGAGTACAGCCTGCAGTTTAGTCCATTGTGCTGGGCTGTTCTTGCCTTTCTCATTCAATCTTCTACATACTGGTCTTAATGCTGCAGCTTTCCACATCACATGTTGTCCATTTAACCTGGAAATGCCATCTGTGAGCCAACCAGCCATTTGCTGATCAATGGGAAGTTGTTCAAAGGGCACTGTGCATGTGAATATGGGCTCTGGAAGCCTCAGTGGAGGTTCTAGGATAGTACCAATGGGAGAGGTTGCTACTTATTTGTGGATATGGTGGGTGCATTCTTGCATTCCTCCAATGGCTTGTTCCTCTATGAATAATTTTTATTTTATCATAGAACTGTTTTGGGTACTACCTTCTTTATTAGAGTTTTTCTCTGATACCATCCATGATATGATATATTTTTCAGGTCTTATAATAACCTAATGGCCTTCTGTCATTGAAACACTCTTAACCAATGCCCAGCTCAAGCAAGTAATTGTCTTTCAAATGGCACATATTGTACAGCAGCAGCATCAAGAAACTTCCTCGTCCAGAATCTCAATAGTAGCCACAGGGCACTTTTATTAGGTATTTGCCATAAGCTCCAATCTTCATAAGCATAGGTAGTAGATACCTTGAGAATCATGTCTGAAAGTGGATCATAAGGGCCTAGAGGTAAAGAGCGTGAGACTGCTTTCTGTATTTCATTCATAGACTGCTGTTTCTCAGGCCACCATTCAGACAGTGTTTTCTTTCTAATAAGTTATTATTGAGAGATAACAATATTCCAAGATATGGGATATAAGTCCTCCAAAATCCAAATAGACCAATCAAATTTTGGGCCTTCTGTGCAGTCTTGGGAGCAGGTAGTGACAGCAACCTGTTCTTGGTTGTGAAATGTCACCGGTGGCTCTTGCCCAGAGTATTCCCAAGAGTTTTACTGTTTGGGCAGGGCCCTCAATTTTTGCTGGGTTTATTAACCCAACCTCTTAACAAACCTCTGTAGTCATGTGGGCAACCACTGTTTTAAAATCAGTCCTATCATGTTCTTCAGTTTTTTATATTAACAAGATATCATCAATGTAATATATAATAACATTGGATATCAGGACCAATTTTAAGTCTATTCAAACCAGGCTATGACAGTAGGTTGGCACATTTAAATAATTCTAGTAATATTATAAAGATAACCTGAGATTCTTCCCAGGTGAAAGCAAACTGGCTAGCTCTTTTCTGATATTAGAATAGAAAAAAAACACATTTGTAAGATCTGTTACTGAGTAACAGTCTCCTTTGGTCTACTGTTTGGAGGCAGGAGTGGCATCCACTTTCTAAATAACATGCTTCCCGAAACTCTATGAACTTCGATAAATGTCGATAGTTGGAGAGGGGCTTCAGGCCTTTGGTTCACAGGGTCACTATGAGTTGTGCACGACAACAACAACATACGTAGACTGTCTCTCTAGATAGAGAATAATAATAATATGTTAAGTAGTGTAGTAACTGAGGAAGGCATACAACTTCCAATCACCTGGAAAGTAGTAGTAAGACACTCTTGGAGAATGGTACAGTACAACCACTCTGGAAGGCACTTTGGTACTTCCTCAAAAAAGCCAAATATAGACATTCCATATGACCCAGCTATTCCACTGCTTAGAGTATGTTGTTGTTGTTGTTATGTGCC